GGTGTACTCGGTTTTGCTTCTTGATGATTTGCTGTTCAATTTGTATAGCAAAATGTAATAGTTCCTGCAGATCATGATACACTAACCTTTCTACCTTGCGAGAAATTCGTTCTTGCAGTCCGTCAACGAATTGTGCCATCACCGTTTCTTCGTTTTCATCCAATTCCAACCGGTTTCGAAGATATTCAAATTCCTCGAAGTAGTCTTCAACCGATTTTGTCCCCTGCACTAAAGAACGGTATTTCTTCTGCAACTCTCTATGAAAATGAGGTGGAACATACCTTCTCCTCATCATGAGTTTCATTTCACGCCAAGTAGAGATGGGTTCATAATGTGCTCTCCTCCTTTCTGCGACTTCGCGATCCCACCATGCTAGGGCATTATCGGTGAGTTGTGCAGCAGCATATTGCACTTTCTTGTACTCCGAATACTCATAACATTCAAAGATATTATCCATCCGCCTCTCCCAATCGAGAAAAGCATCAGGGTTAACACGACCAGCAAATGTAGGTAATTGGAGTTTGATATCTTTACCGTTATGTCTTGCACGACGAGGCTGATCTCGACATAAATCATCGTCCTCTTCATCATCTTCAATTGGGACGTTGTTCCTGTGGTCTCTTCGTCGTTGAGGAGAATCAGGGGGTGTGCGTTCTCGGTCTTGTACAGGTTCTTCACGCCTAGGAAAGTTGACCCGAATAGGTTCTGGTCTCCTTGGTAACTCCTCTAGTCGTGCCAATCGTTCTTGTATGTCTTGCAGAATTTGTGCAAGCGCGTTGTGGTTGGGCTCTCCTTCTCCCGACATTCTAACTTCTTTATTTTATTTTTCTCAAGGTTTTGTAAATAGAAAGATCAAAACAGAACAGGAACTCAAAGTAAAATGAAATAGAAAGAGATATCGTGTTACCTCTTCACCGGTGGAACTGTTTTTGTATTTTTCGGTTTTCTTCAAAATTAAAAAAGGTAAATCTGATTAAAAACGAATTGAAATGATAGAAGGAACACCTTACCTCACGTTGGTCCTTGAACCGGGCTCTAATACCAAAAATGATACACACTCGGGCTTAAGAACACACGATCGATGGTGATTCTCGGTTGTGAATGGTGGATAGGTTTCATAAGTTAGTCTCTGGCTCTAAGGCACTCTTGCTATAAATTAGGATGTCATCAAAAT